AATATCTAATGAAAAAAATTTCCTTGACACTAGTGTTGCAATTATTAGTGTTAATTTTTCTTTTAATTTTTTTTTAAATTAATAATAAAAAATATATAAATTATACTCTAAATTTACGTTTTAAGAAATAGACTTGAAAAACTCATCTATTCTTATAAAAGAGAAACTATTGGGAAAAAGTTTATCATATGTCACATTTATGTCTTTTTAAATTTATTCCTTTATTTTTGTAATATTCCAAAATTTTGTGATATTTTAACATTAAGTTAAGGACTTTATGAGAGGAAATATTATGTTTGGGCTTAATAGCCAAAATTTCAAAAGTTGAGGGGTTTAAAAGAGAAAAGATTTTGGATAAGGATCGGAGGATTTCTTTCTTCTTCCCAGCCTTGCCCGATTCTGCTCTTCTTCTCCTTTCTTCCCGCTGCAGCCCAAAAAGAAACCCAGCCACCACCGACGCCTTCCCTTGAGAAAAATCGGTGAGCAGCCTGATTTTATCCTTCTTTTCTGGTCCAAGAACAAGATTGGAGCCTTGAAATCTTCCCCCCTGCAGGAAAGCTTCCGGATCTGCCTTGCTCTGCTCCTCACCGCCGGCTGCTCCTGCTTTGTGGGGGCGAATTGCTTTGATTTTTTGGTAAGAAACAGCTCGAAATTCCCCTTCTTTAGCTTTGAATTGGCTTGGGTTTGCTTTAATTCCTCTTGGTTCTTGAATTTTGGGTAGCCCCGTGAGTCCCCCTGCACTTGCCGCCTGCCTTCCCCCAACCTGCAGTCCGGTTTTTGCTTGCTAAATTCTGGTATGTGGCAGCCCTTTAAGCCTAAAATTATCCATTTAGTTTGCTGCCTTGTGATGTCCGAAAATTTGCAGTACTTAGGGGATGAATTCCGGTAGTAATTAGAGCATAATTGAGCATTAATTCAAGTGGAATTTATGTGATTGAATGTTAATTGACTGCTGTGAGATTTTTGGAGAAAATCCCGTGAATTAGCTAGTGTTTTTGGCAATTTTTGGAAGTGCAATTACTGTTCATGATACTGTTCGCGGACACTGTTTACGCTACTGTTCACATATCACTGTTCACGAACTGATGGCTAACAATTAAGAGAATTTAAATGATTAGTTTATGATATAAGAATGAATTCGGAGATATCTGATAACGTGGAGACGGATAAAAATAACATCATGATTAGGGGTGATCTTAATGAAGTTCACTTTGAATTTGTGATAGTATAGAATTAATTCTTGGATATTTTGATTAGGTTCCCAATCGTTCTGTTAGTTAGCACTGAGATTGAGTTTTCTGCTTTATGCGACTGAGATAAGTAAATTTATGATAATGCCCGTATTGTTTTTAAAAGCATGTTTCGATTTGTCTTTGAAGTGGTGGCGAGACTAAACCCGTTTTATGCAAAAGTGAGTATGACTGATTTGAAGTGAAATTTTTATGCTTTTCATTAAATTGAGCATGCCTACTTGAAATTTAATTGATTGTCCTGATGATTTGAAAGTAATTGATGAATTATGATTTTTCTGTGAACTTCTACTTGTTTTGTTTCCGATGTGGTCATGTTATTAGTGACCCTGCTAGTGGGGGTTAAACGCTATCACATGTCGACATGTTTACTGATATGACGGGTAAATTTTGGCGCCTGCTAGTGGGTTGTTATAACATTGGTCATGACCTATAAAGGAGACGTCTATTTCGTTTTCGTACTCGTATCTGTTTTTCGTGATTATACTTGTTGGCATGCTTTAAGTTTAATAAGGGGCACACCATATTTACTTACTGAAATATTTTATCTCATAGTTTTTCTTTATCAACCATTTCAGGAAGCGAAACCGAGGACAGAGAAACCACGGGAAGTGACGAGTTAGAAGGCTAGCCATTTCGAGATTGATATAGATTTTAGATATAGATCATGATCTTTTAAACTAGATTTTAATTGGAGATTTTATAAATTCATTTAATGGATGGTTAGTTTGCAAGAGATTTGATCTTGAGATTGTGAGCTTAAGTGTTGGATATAGAATTATTTTGAGATATCTGATTTAATTTATTGGATTGTCAAATGTAAATTGGATAAGTTCCGAGCCTTGTGCATTTGTGGAACCCTCTCACAAGTGTACGGTGTCTGTCGCGCCTCAGATTTGAGTTCTGGGCGTGACAATCTTTTTGGACATGTGGCTTCAGTTTTCTTTCTGAGTAAATTCTTTCTTCCAAATTCTTTTTTAAATGTGATTATTATTATTATTAGAGTCAAGAAAATAAAAAATATCAAACTGTTAATGAGTTATTCTACCATCTATTAATAAGTTATTCTCTCATCAATTAATATATTACAACTATATATTTAAATTGTACTGTAATACATTTTGCTGGCTGCACTTTTTCTTTTTGAGAACACTTGGAACGCTTTTTTTTCTTTTTTTCTTTTTTTTCCTTTCTCTGGCCATTTCTTGCAATGTTTCCATTTCCTTTTTTTAAGTAATTAATAACTAATAATAATTAATACAATGATATTTAAATTTAAATAGCGATTATATAATATTTGTAAAATTATAAAAAGTGTGAAGTTTTATTTTTTTCAACAATATTAGAGTTATTCATGTGGAGAGAGTTAGATATAAAAAATTAACAATATTCATAGAAAAGTTTTGAACTTAGATGTATACAAAACTGAGCATTAAAAATAAATCCTCTTTTCTCCCTCACATGCAATTATATTATTGCCATGCTCTCAATTACTAATGTCACATTTTTTTATTTTAATTGACTATTATATCCTTTAATTTATTAAGAAACAAAAAAAGTAAAATTTTGAGAATAAATGTGATGTAAGAGTAAAATAGACAATTATATTAAAATGACGTGATATTAACTATTTAGAATGTGATAATAACCTCACCCCTTATATATTATATCTTTCAAGTTTTATTAATACTATTTAATAAAATATGAATAGTGATTATATGATATTTGTAAAACTAAATAAAGTGTGAAGTTTTTTTTCTTTTTAACAATATTAGAGCTATTCATGTAAAGAGATTTAGGTATGAAAAAATAATAATATCAGTAGAAAAGCCCTGAACTTAGATGTATACAAAGTTGAGCATATAAAAGTCCTCTTTTCTCCCTCTTATGAGGTGATATTTTTACAACACTCTCAATTATTAATGTCATACTTTTTTATTTTAATTAATTATTATACCTTTTAATTTATTAAAAAAAATTTTGAGAAAAAAATGTAACCTAAGGATATAATAGATAATTACATTAAAATGATGTGGTATTAATTATTTAGGATGTAATAATAACCCCACCTTTTTATGTTATATCATTTAAGTTTTATTAATACCATTTCTTAAAACTATACTTATTTTCTTTTTAATCTTAAGTTTTATCCAGTTAATTATTTTAAATTTGATTAAATTTGATGTTCTTCATCTTTTATTTGGTATTTTTTTGTATGGCTCAACTATTTGGTCATGTTGCATTAAAAATTTATTCTATATCTATCTATGTATTAAGGGAGAAATTTATGAAGGAAAATCATATTATGCGCTAAATTTTTATACAATCCTTAATTTATAGCTCTTTTGAGATATGACAAAACCTTCCTTATTTAGTAACTTTTTTTTACAATAGAGTATTTTTTATGTTGTTGTTTAATGAGATGAGTTAATGTCAAAGTCCAAAATGGCCAAAAAAAAAAAAAAATCCATAAGGTTAGTTAATGCCACTTGATTACGATACCCTTAGTACAAATTTACTATTACTTTTTGTTAAATTTAAATATTTTTTAAATCAAAAATTGACAAAAAAAAAAAAAAGAGGATAGATTATTTGGATAAAATTATGAGATAAGTGTACACTAAAATATTTTATTCATAACAATAAAAGAAAAACTACTAGACTTTTTTACTATACTACTTTTCAAATTAAGCATTTATTATTTTAAACTTTTTTTTTAGAATTTAGAAAGAACAATTCTATGTTTTAATATTTAAAATTTAACATGTAAAATTAGAAATTTAAACTTTAGAGTTTTAGAATTTAGCTTTTAGTTTTATAATTTTAGAGTTTTGAATTTTAAAATTTTAGAGTTCAATAATAATAATTTAAAAGTTGAAGTTTTAAAATTTATGATTTAGAATTTTTGTATTTAAGTTTGGACTAGGATTTACTATTTAATTTTTTTATCAATTTAAAACCATAATATTTTTAGGTGGCATTTAATTTGACTCTCTTTTTCAGGTTTAGCAATTTTAGTGTTTTGGATTTTAAAATTTTAGAATTCAATAATAAGAATTTAAAGGTTGAAGTTTTTAAAATTTATGATTTAGAGTTTTAGAATTTAAATTTGAACTAGGATTTAGCATTTAATATTTTTTTGATCAATTTAAAATTATAATATTTTTAAGTGACATTTTAATTTGAGTCTCTTTTTTAGGTTTTATAATTTTAGAGTTTTGGATTTTAAAATTTTAGAGTTCAATGATAAAAACTTAAAGGTTGAAGATTTTAAAATTTATGATTTAGAGTTTTAGGAATTAAATTTGGATTGGGATTTAATAATTAATTTTTTTCTATCAATTTAAAACCATAATATTTTTAAGTGACATTTTAATTTCACCCTCTTTTTCAGTTTTTAAAATTTTATTTTCTTTAATTTTCTCAAAGGTATTCACATTTATGTTCCTTCTTATTTTTGCAAATATATTTAGTAATTAATAATTTATATGCTTCAACACTTTAGAATCCATAATTAAAGCACGCATTTCATATTATACTCTTATATTATTTTATGAATTGTGTTATATTGATGGATATTATGTTTGATTTTTTATAAAGTATTTTTTATTTCCTCTTAGAATAATATTTTTTTCCTTATTTGTGTCATATCTAATATTCTAGATTTATTTTGGTATATTTTTAATTATTTTCAATAAGTTTTAAATTAGTTTCAATTTAAAGATGCACTCCTTAATATTTAATATTTTGGTAGTAATATTTCAATTTAATATTTTGATTCAAAGATGATTTGCAATTATATATTTAACAAACTTAACCTTTATACAAATTTTTTCTTGCTTTAGGATTTGAAATTCTCTACTTAGGGTGTGTGTGGTTTGAAAAAAGGAAGTGATGGATTTGTCAACCAATCAGATTGCAATATTTGAAAATATTATAATCTGATGGGTTATAAAATAGATCCATTTTGCCAATGACCTAAATAAGTTAGTGGTAATCTTTTTCTAATGGAAGTAAGAGCTCTAGAATTCAAAGCAAATGGCATGCACGTAAGGTAGATTAAAGGATGAGAGAGTGCTACCTCTGATTATGCAAGAAAAGGGTTTTCTAGAAAGGAAAGAACCTCATTTATTCTCTTTTATCCATTTCCTGCAAACTAAATATACTATTTAAAAGTGGCAATTTTCCCTTTCCTTTCATGGGGGACCCTATATAATGTACCCTTAAAAATACAATAATTTTTTTACAAATTATTGTAAATTGGGTTCAACCACACTTTAACAAATTTCAATATATTTACTTAATTTATCATTCATTTTAATGACAAAACCCAATATTCATTATGCAATTCAAGTCTAATTTAACTTGTAATATCCCAAAATTTTGTGGTATTTTAGCATTGAGTTAAGGACTTGATTGTGAGGAAAAATATTGTTTTGGGCTTAATAGCCAAAAGTTTGAAAGTTGAGGGACTTAAAAGAGTTAAAATTTGGATAAGGATGGCTTCTTTTCTTTTTCCTTTTTCTTTCTTTCTTTCTTTCTTCTTCGGCCCGTTTCTGCTCTTCTTTTTTCCGCTGCATCCCGACAGCCCCCCCAAGCTTGCCGACCTGCATGCTTGAAAAAAATTGGAAGAAAGCTTGAAATTCCTCATTCTTTCTTGTTCAATCACAAGATTTAGGAGCTTAGAAACCTTCTCCCCCTGCTGGAAACTCCAGATCTGCCTTGCTCTGCTTGTCTTCACCGCCGGCTGCTATGTGGGTGGGTGATTTCTGGGCATTTTTTTCGGTAAGAACAGCCATTAATCCATCCTTTTAGCCTTGATTTAACTTGGGTTTACCTTAATTGCTCTTGGTTCCTTCAATTTTTGGGTAGTTTCCGTGAATTCCCCCTGCAATTCCCGCCGGCTCCTCCCCCAGCCAAGCTCAGTTCTGCAGCTGGAAAATTATGGTATGTGGCAGCTTCTCTAAGTGCAAGTTTTAGCCATTCAATTGCTGCCTTGTGTGTTCGAATTTTACAGAAAAATAGGGAGGAATTCCGGTAGCCTTTGAACATGTTTTAAGCTTGGTTTAAGTGTAAATTAGCTTGATTTAGATTGCTGTGATTTTTGGAGAGAAAAACCCGTGAATTAGCTAGTGTTTTGGCCCATTTTTGGAAGTTGGAGTTACTGTTCACGTTGTGGTACTGTTCACGGCACTGTTCACACACCGAGGGTAAACAATTAACGGGGATTTAAATGATTAGTTTGTGATATAAGAATAAATTTAGAGATATCTGATAATGTGGAGATTTATAGAAATAGCATCATGATTATGAGTGATCCTAATGATGATTTCAGTTTGAATTTGTGAGAGTGCGGAATTAATTCTTGAAATATTTTGATTAGGTTCTCGATCATTCTGTCAGTTAGCAATGAGATTGAGTGCTCGGTTTTATGCGAGTGAGGTAAGTAAATTTATGATAATGCCCGTACAGTTTTTAAAAGCATATTTTGATTTGTTTTTGAAGTGGTGGTGGGACTAAACCTGTTTTATGTAAAAGTGTATAAATGATTTGAAGTGCAATTTTTATGCTTTTCATTAAAGTGAGCATGCCTACTTGAGATTTAATTGATTGTCCCGATGATCTGAAAGTGATTGGTGAAGTATGATTTTTTTATTAAATTCTGCCTGTTTTGTCTCCAATATGGTCATGTTATTTGTGTGTTTGCTAATGGGAGGTTTATAAACGCTAGCACATGTCGACATGTTACTGATAGAACCGGTTCGTTTCTGTTATCTTGCTAATGGGATTATACACTAGTAAATCGTGTGCCTATCAGTGGGAGGTTTATAACACTGGCCGTGACCTATAGAGGAGACGTCTATTTCGTTTCCATACCCGTATCTGTTTTTCATGATTGCACTTGTTGGCATGCTATAAGTTTAATAAGGGCACTCCATATTTTACTTACTGAGTTTATCTCATAGTTTTTCCTTGTCCACCATTTCAGGAAGCAAAATTGAGGACGGAGAAACTACGAGAAGTGATGATTTAGAAGGCTAGCCATCTTGTAAATTGAGCATAGATTTAGATATAAATCATGATCTTGTAAGTTCGACTTTATTGGAGATTTATGACATTAGAGCAAATTATAAAATTTGATCTTTAGATTTGGTGGTATAAGATTTTGTGATATAGTAAGTTCTGAGCCTTGTGCATTTGTGGGACCCATCTCAAGAGTGCACGGTGTCTATCGCGCCTCGGATTTGGGTTCTGGGGCGTGACATAACTACTCAACACATTTGCCATTTAATATTGTAAAGAAAAAACCATATGATAAATTTTTATAAATTATTATAAATTGAGATGAGAAGATTTTTTTTCTCCATCAAAAAATCACCATGGGGATGGGGAGTGCTCTATGATTGTGTGGGGTCTTACTACCATTACTAATATCTCTATACTAACAATTTAAAATGTTCATACTTATTAAGAATTTGGAACAAAATGATATATGTTATGAATGCTAAGAATGCTATTGTTTCTTTTATTGGTTGATTGAGAATTAACACTAATATCTCTTTGGATTTTATGGATAGGAGAGGAAGAGAAACTTTTCTCTTTGGATAATAGAAAATTGGAAGGGAAATGAGGGGAGGTGAGGGGTTTTTCTTTCCTTTATTATTATTATTATTATTATTATTATTATTATTATTATTTTACATTTTAGTCTAACCAAATGAGAGGAGGGCACTTTGTTTCCCTTAAACCAAACATGAAGTAAATGCATGGATGATTCACCTATTTCAAATTGCTTTGTTTTCATTCATTGTTTGGGATATTTAGTATCAAAATAATGACAAGTTCTATGAGGGTTCTTATTTCAAGATTCTAAATGACTTTTTTTTATTATTTATAAAACTATTAAATTTTAGTTTTTTTTTTTATTTAGTTTGATTTATCTAATAAGTAACTTGGTATGTTTTGCTAGCATAAACCTTATTTGTATTTTATTAAAACATTAATATTGAAGGGGCTACCTCTCTTAAATGTATTGGTAAAGGAGAGATCTTCAAAGATCATAATGACAATTAGATTAAGGGGTTTGCCAAGAATATAGGCATTACTAATAAATTAAGTGTTAAGTTTTAAGACATAAAGGATAACCTCTAATTTTATTGTTACCAAAGGGTTTTCTAAAATTAATATTGGGTCTGACTTTTTTATACTATTCAATTATTGTTTGTTAATGTCTATAACATTTAAATTGCAAAGAACTCATGAAGAATTTTGTTCTAACTCAACACTACAACATGTTGATAGGGATAACCATATGTGTACTAACCAACTTTTCAAGATGAGAATATCACTTTCTTTAACTTTTGTTGTTTTTAATAAGTGTCCATCTCTTATGGTTACATTTCATCTTACTTATGTACTAGAGGTTTACTTTCTTAAACTGCCCTAATGAATTCTTTTTTGTTGTACTAATATATTTTTTTCATTTTTTCTCAAAAAGAGGAAGAAGAAGAAAAAAAGTAATAACTTCTTTTTGCTCAAAATATTAGTATTCTTCATTTTTATTCCAAATGTTTAATTAATAGTTTGTTTGGGTTAAGGGAAGAAGATTTTTTGACCAATCAAATTACAATATTTAAAAAATGTTATAATTTAATTAATTAAAAAATCTTCCCCTCCCCTCCCCTCTTGAAGTCACTTGGATCAAAATTTGTTATTGGTCTAATAACCCTTTAGGTCAAAGTCCATAAGATAAAAAAAAAATTCAAATTTAAGTTATTAGTAGCAATGATTGATTTTTACAATTATATGTTAGGTTTACTTGTTAGCCCCTACGAATATAGGATTCAAGATGTTATACCTCCATTTCTCAAACATATTATAAGTTGTTCATTTTCCTTATTTTTGATATTATAAAAATCCTTTTATTTGTATAAAAATATAAATAATATTCTAAATTAATGCATAAAAATAAATATAAGTACAAATAAAAAGGTTTTAATAATTTTTTACTAGAAAACATTTATATATATTAAAAAATTACAGAAATGTATTTAATATTTACTTTTAATCTATATTTAATTTTTAAAAATAAATAATATCTTATATAAAAAATAAAATTTATAAAATTTAAAATATATAAGTTATTTCATACGTCCCCGTGTGAAGGCACGGGTGCCATCTAGTTTTCAATCAAAATAAGATCCACCAATGTCATTTTATTATGGGTTTAAGTACCATTTTGGTCCCTCAATTTTTTACTTTGGCATCAAAATTATCTTTTACTTTTAAAAAGTATCAAAAATATCCTTAAACTTTCATTTTTGGTACTAAAATGATCTTTTCATCAGTTAAATGACAGGTGTCACGTTAATTTACGAGCAAATCACTTAACTTTTTAAATGTTAATGACGTGTAAATCCAACTTCGAAAATTTTGTTACCATGGCATGTTTTTTCTGTACACGCGACATATTTTTTTACACATCATATTATCACTTTTTTAACTTTCCCTTTCAATGGGCTCACATGACTTTTTTAAACTTTTCTTATTCTTTCTCTCTCTCCTCTCTTCCCCTCTTCTTCTTCCTCTCCAGATCTGGGTTTGATCAAACCCAAATCTGGGTTTTATGGCATGTCCACTCCGGCCAAGTACTTGAACATCCTCCTTTCCTCCTCCCTGCTCATCCTTCTTCTTTCTTCTTCTTATTCTTTCTTTCTCTCTCTTCTCCCTTCTTCTTCTTCTCTCAAGCCCAAATCTGGGTTTTTCTTAAACCCAGATCTGGCATTTCAGCAACCCCGCTCACCTTGTCCATCTTGGACGCGCTTATGGCACTGCTACTCCCCCATGTTCGAGGTGAAGAAACTGGGTTTGTGAATTTAGACGAGAATCTATTGTTCGAGGTGTTGAAGCATGTGGACGCAAGGACGCTGGGCATGGCTGCCTGCGTGAGCAAGTCGTGGCACAAGACAGCGCAGGACGAGCGGCTCATATTCCATTAATTACTTGAATGGTTGGGCATGGTTGCCTGCATGAGCAATTTGTTTTTGGATCTTGAATTTTTCATTAATTACTTGAATGGCTGGAAAATTGATGTTTTCAATATAAAAATTTTGGGTTTTTTACAGATCTGAGGAAGGAGAATGATTGTTGCAAAGGGGAAGGTTTGAGGTGGAGGGAGACAAGATTTTGTCAAATTGGTTCACAATTTATTTTACAGATCCAAGGAAAATTGAAGCTTTCAACATAAAAATTTTGTTTTTTTATAGAGATTCAGCCATGGAAATCTGGGTTTACCATTGCTTTTTTTTTTTTCTTTTGAGCTGCTAGATTTTTCGAAGTTGCTGGTTTGCTTGGAGCTTGAGGAGATGCAAGAGAAAGAAGAACGGAAAGGTTGGAGGGTGAGGATGAGGGCATTTAAGTAATTTTGTTTTTTAATGTATTAACTGATTAAAAAATGGGAGTTTTTCTTGTTGGATTTATACGTCATTAACATTTAAAAAGTTAAGTGATTTGCTGGTAAATTAACGTGACATCTGTCATTTAATTGATGGAATATTATTTTGGTACAAAAAAAATGAAAGTTTAAGAATAATTTTGATACTTTTTAAAGATAAAAAACAATTTTGGTATCAAAGTGTAAAGTTGAGGGGTTAAAATGGTACTTAAACCTTTTATTATGTGCATGTTCAACACGTGGAAAATCCTGCACCAGGCACCCGACCAATCATATTCAACAACACTACGGAAGTTGGTGACGTGTGTGCTCTGATTGGTGTCTCGTGATGCATTTCGTGCATTGGGTTGTAGTTTGTATGAGCGAAGGAGGGCGGCGGGGGTGAGTGGCACGGTGCGCACGTGAAACGTGTTTGGAAAGCTTAGTTGGTGACAGCCATGAGCGTGGGGGGGGAAAATGTGAAAAAACGGAGGCGCACGGGATTCACCTGCAGTTTTCCATGTTGTGGAATTTGACGCCAAAGGGATGTTCACAAGACTAGTCGCCTCCCCCTTCCCTCGAATCTCTCTTACCCTGGAACCCTATCTTTTATTCTCCTTATTGTGTATTGTACTTATTATGATCACAGTTGTTAATATTGTATCAATATATGTATTGATTTTGTTATTAAATAATATATATTGAAAATCAAAATTTTTCATGTATCGTTTTAGATTTATTGCTATAAATATATATTTTTATAAATTAAATATCAAAATTTAAAATAATGATAAAAAAACTAATTTTTAAAACAATCATATTGTTATAAATTGAAAACAAATTTTAAATAGTCAATTTTATGAAATATCCATAATTTTTTCTTTTTTTTAATATTAACATAATATTAAAAAGTATAACAGTATTTTGAATTTAATATTATACAAAAAATTAATTTTGAATTGATTAAAAAAAGAGTTAGTGTTTGTCCACCTTATTTTCAAAAAATTACGAGGAAAAATAACAAAAAAACACCTTATTCATGCTTTAAAAATATGATATTTTAGTCTTTTTTAATAAGTGTTTATTAAAATGATTTAATTTTGAAATAATATTCTTTTTAATCTTTAGAAAATAAGACAGATAAACACTATTCCCTTAAAAAAAATGCAATTTTCATAGTTGATGGATTAAAAAAATACATAAAAAAGTTAAAAAATAAAAATTATGCAAAACATTAAAGTTGAGGACCAGAAATGAAATTTACCTTTTTTAAATTTAAATTCATTTGTGCAAAATCATTTTTGGTGTACCGGTCGATACGTTGAAATACTAGTCGGTACACCAAAATTTGATTGAAATTGGTGAAATTTGACTAAAACAAAATTAAACCTTGTACTGTTTCGATTTAAAGAAAAAATCGGTACATACTGATTGGTATGATACGAAATTAAAAACAATGATTGTGATTCCGTTGTTGTTTCTTTTTTTTTTTTTTCTTTTTTTTCCTTCCTTTTTAATGTTCAGTTGTTTTTATGTTAAACATAGTAGTAATTGTTTTGTGCATTTTTTAACCTTAAAATTGACCAATAAATTAAATAACAATTGAGTTTCATGTTTTTTAGTATACATTGTGTTGATTGATGATTTGTTTTTTTAAAGGTCAAACTTGGAGTAAGGCCCAGTGGTATTTGATGCCATAATACATGGCTAGATCCAGCGGCATCTAATGTTGTAGTACATGGCTGAATCACTAGAAATATAAAAAGAAGTCTATTTTCTTTATTATTTCCTTATTGATTAAATTTCATCAACTAATCAATATTCCTCTATGCAAGTCATCAATAAACCCATGAATCCAAGCTCATGGGAATATTTGGGATAAACTATAGGAGTAGTGGCTTGGTAGGCATGGATGGGTGAATGTTGCCTGTCTGGCGAAATGAGGTATTCACACTAGTGAAGTTTGGCGCTGGCAATGTTGCCCGACTTTGCCAAAAAGGGCTGGGTGGCGAAGATGTGGAGGTTGAGCTTCGTCACAAAACTGTACTGTTTGATGCTAACTAGAAGCTAGGAATCCCATTCAAAACCAACTAAAGAGACTATTTTGGTCACCACCAACAATTTGTAGTCATATTTAATGCAAAGGTGGCTGCACAGTGTTGAAAATTGCTAAAAAGGGTGGTTGCACAAGTTAGAAACTGTTGAAAAAGATCTGACTTCGTCGAGAAAATCTGCCAAAATCTTGGACAAACGTTGGGAATCTTCCAATATCTCAGCCAGTCCTTAAAAATTTACCAAAATCTTGGCTAAATCTGATTTTGCCAGCTGCACTTAATTATCCTCCTAAAAATGGTATTTCGTATGGTTGGAGAAATTCCCATAAATATTCAATTTCCAATCCTTCACCAGAATCAACGAAGTTTTATCAAAACCATTCGGCAATTTATGATGCCATCGCCAAGGAGCTGTTAGCCATATCCAGAACCACCCAAAATGTGACAACTCACCCAAGCCCACTTGTACCTTTCTGACTCGTCAACCAGAAATTACAAATATGCCACTGGCCATATATATATATATATATTATCTTCATTTTTTAGCGGAGAGATGTACAAAATAGACCAGATTTTCCACTTCCACTTCTTCCTCACATACCAAACTTCTATTTTCCCTTTGAAAACTTCTTCATCTTCGACCTCTCACCTTATACACCAAAATACCCAGAAATCACCATTTTTACTACATTTTTTGCACTTCCAACATGTAACACCCCACATACCTTAGTGAATAATGTAAAAATTAGTGTCATTTAGTTTATAGTTTTAGGGATTAAATTGATTGAATTTAAAGTTTGGGGGGTCTTAAGTAGAACTTAGTAGGAGTTGAATGGCGTTAACTCAATTATCCCAATTTTGATTACCACATGGCATTATCCCAACCAAGTTTTTTTCCTTGTCAGTTGGAACTTGGATAAGCCTCCAGAAGGCTCCCAAAAGTCCCCATTTTTTTTTCCTGCGTCTTCCAGCCGTCCCCTGCATCCTTTTCTTCCTTCTTTCTCCAACCAAGATTAAAGTGCTTGATTTTCATGTAAGTATGAGTTTTGGTTATAAATTTTGGTTAGAGTGTTTATTTGGGTAAATTATAGATTTATTACAATAAACTAAAAGTTAGATTAAATTAATGGAATTTGACTCCAAAGCTTTAATTTTATAGATCTTTGGGTATTAAGATTTTGTTAAAAACATGTCAATTTTTGGGGTTTATGTGGGAAAGATAATGAGTTATTCCTTTAAATGTTTGATTCGGTGTGAATTTTTACTTGCCGGAATTATAAGTAAATTGTCCTGTTCATGATACTGTTATGTAATTACTGTTCACGATTACTGTTCATACATCACTGTTCACACACTATGCTTTAATCTCTTTCAATAGGAAGTCCTAATATTATTTTGGACATATTCTGAATTTGTTTGACATGCGTATGTGTTTGTAGCTATGGGGTAAGTGGACCTAAGCTTAAAGCTTGGGGTATTCAGTAGACCCTTTAGGGTATTTAGTGGATCTTTACGCAGTAGGGTTAGTACTGTGATTAGTTCTGGTACAGTGTTGCTAGCACACATCAGTGGACTCCACAGCATTGTGTGATTTTCGGTTGTATGCATTGCGCTTCTAACATTGTATGTGTGAGCATATGATTTTAGTATAAGAATTTAATTTAAATGTCATTGATTATTCCTTGACATGTGTGAGTATGATTTGAGAATTATAATATTATGTGGTTTGGTTTCGTTGTATCTCATGCTCATTATGTGCATAGGTCTAGGGGTCTTAGAATCTAAGTTTATAGCTTAAACTTATTACTTACTAGGCTTTTAGCTCATAAAATTCCCCCCCCCCCATTTTAGATCAGTAGATCGAGGTAGCAGCCTTTCAGTTTAGGAGCTTTTGGCACTGGACTCGCATGCTCGTTGTATGTACAAGCTAGTGCCTCGTGTTTTTGATAGGAAGGCAGATCAATGTGTTACCAAAACAATAACTCAGCTTTTGTTCTTTTGAAAAGTTTTGAAGAAGAAATTTGCCTCATATAATTTTTGTGTAAATTACCTTTATGTACATAATCTTTAAGTTAATTATAAATGAGCTTAGCCCAACTTATTTATAACTTTGAATATTTTGACATTTTTCCAATATATATATTGATATTTTTTTTTTTGTTAAAGTGATTTTCCTTTACAAGTATCTATAAATCTTATTTTCGAATTCTTTTAAGACTAAGAGTGCCTAGGGAGGTGTGCTATATTTTTGGTATCAAAGCCAAAGTTTTGCTAATATATTGATCTGCCATACAAGTTAGAGTCTAGTGTCATAGGATTAGATTTTGCTTAACTATTAGTTTTGCACTCTTTGTTTGTATTAGTACCGGAGAAGAAAGATGAGTCAAGGAGACAATACTTCTACTCCTCCTCCTAATGATGACGTGAATGCCTGAATGGACATAATGCAAAAGGCCATTACAGATATGAGTTCCATCTTTAGGGATTATCTTCGACATTAGAACAACAATAATGCCCCACAAAACACTGGTGGCAATTCATAGCAAACAGTGGACTCTAGGGAAGGAAATGAGCAGTTGACATTGGTGAAGCAATTTCAGAACATGAACCTGCCTAGCTTCAAGGGAGTTCCTGATCTTGATGTGGCTGAGTCTTGGGCTAAGAAATTAGAAAAGATGTTCAAGCTCCTAAAATGTACTGACAAGTAAAAAATGGAGCTGGTAGTGTTCACGTTAGAAGGTGAAGTTGATGATTGGTGGACAACTGCTCAAGATGGGTTTTCTAAGAGAGGGGAGGAGGTTACATGGGACAAGTTTGTTCAGGCCTTCTATCAGAAATATTTTTCTGAAGCTGTGTTTGAAAGAAAAGAACGAGAGTTCATGAATTTGAAGCAAGATGACATGACAGTTGATGAGTATCAAGTTAAATTCAGTTATTTTATGAAGTTTGCTCCTCACCTTGTTAATGATGAAGTTAGGAAGGCAAGGAAGTTTCAAAGAGGGTTGAAAGTTCCCATTAGGAACAAGGTGGTTCCTCAAATGCTAAAGACCTATGATGAGGTCTTGGCCACGGCTCAAATAATTGAGCAAGATATGGAAGAGCAAAAAATGGAGACTCATGACTCAAAAGGCAAGGGAAAGGCTATCAACAACCAGCCTTTCAACAAGAAGCCTAAACAAAGGGGAAAAAGGAAGATCCCCGAAAGCAATAGACCAAGTTTTGATTTTTGTAAGAGGTGTGGTAAGAACCATGGGGGAAAAGAATGTTATTGGCAGACTGGGGCATGTTTCAAGTGTGGGAAGACTGGCCACTTGATCAAGGATTGCTCGGTTTTGAAGGGAGCAAGTCAGCAACCAAAGGATTACGATAATAAGAAGCCCAGGGTTCGAGGAAAAGTTTTTGCCATCACAGGACAACAAGCTCAAAACACTCCTACAGTTATAAAAGGTAAAATACCTATCTCTTTTGGGAATATCCATGTGTTGATTGACTTTGGATCTACCCAATCATTTGTGTCACCTAAGTATGTGCCATTTTTACATGTGAAGCCTGAGACCCTTGATTGTGTGCTTGTGGTGAATACTCCTTCTAAGGAGGTTTTAACATCAAAAACCATCTATAGATCCTATAGAGTTATGGTAGAGGGTAGAGTTTTGCTTGCCGATCTGATTTTGTTAGGAATAGTGGAATCTGATGTCATACTTGGTATGGATTGGTTGTCTACCCATTATGATATGGTTGATTGTTATGAGAAGGTGGTCACTTTTTCCACCCCTAATCAGTTGATGATTTGGTTTGAAGGAGAAAAACTTCGATCATTTCCATTACTTGTTTCTTACATGCAAGCTGATAAAATGTTGCAGCATGAATGTTATGGATATCTGGCATATGTTTTTGAGTCTAAAGATAAGCCGGTGTCTGTAGAAGGAATTTGGGTAGTGGGAGACTTCCCTGATGTTTTTCCTAAGGAGTTGCTTGGGTCACCTCCAAATAGGGAGATTGAATTCACTATAGACCTTGTGCCTGGTATTTCACCAATATCCTAGCAACCTTATAGAATGGCCTCAGCAGAACTAATTGAATTGAAAAAGAAGTTGTAAGAGCTTCTTGATAAAGGGTTCATTAGACTCAGTACTTCTCCCTGGGGTGCTCTGGTTCTTTTTGTGAAAAAGAAAGATGGCTCACTTAGTTTGTGCATTGATTATAGACGGTTGAATCAAGTCACCATAAAAAACAAATATCCTTTGCCAAGGATTGATGATTTATTTGATCAATTACAAGGGGCTCGTGTCTTTTCCAAAATTGATCTTAGATCGGGTTACTACCAGCTAAAGGTTAAACTCAAGGATGTGATGAAGATTGCTTTTAGGAGCAGATATGGGCACTACGAGTTCCTGGTAATACCGTTTGGTCTAACCAATGCCTCTACAGCTTTTATGGATCTTATGAATAGGATCTTTTAGTTGTACTTATATAAGTTTGTCATTGTCTTCATTGATGACATTCTTATCTTTTCTCCTGATGAAGAGAGCCACAAGGAGCATCTTGCCATTGTATTGCATATTTTGCGAGAAAAGAAGTTGTATGCCAAGTTTGATAAGTATGAGTTTTGGCTGAATCAGATTAGCTTTCTGGGTCATATTGTCTCGAAGGATGGCATATCAGTTGATCTTAGTAAACTGGAAGCAGTTGTAAAGTGGGAAAGGCTGACTACTATCACAAAAGTGAGGAGTTTTCTTGGATTAGCAGGATATTATAGAAGGTTTGTAGAGGGATATTCGAAGATTTCTTGTCCGTTAACACAACTTACTCGTAAGAATCAGAAGTTTGAATGGATAGATAAATGTGAGCAAAGCTTTCAAGAGTTGAAGAACAGATTGGTCACAGCACCAATTCTTCCTATTCCTGACAATGAAGGAAACTTTGTGGTATATACCGATGCTTCTCACAATGGCTTGGGTTGTGTACTTAATGGGAATCAAGATGACATCACATGTACCACATCAAGAGATCCATTACACATTCCAGGAGGTCCAATCACGAGAGCTAAAGCTGGGAAGATGCGAAAAGCTTTAAATGGCCTTATTGAGCAGATCTGGGTTGATAACAACATACAACAAGCAAATCGAAGCTTGGATGATTATCAAGGCATGGAAAACATCATTCAGGTTCAAGAGAAGCTTAGTTGAGGTCATTTGCACAGAATTACATCGTTTGCGTAAAAAATCGCACAATTCTGCCGCAATTTGTAGCAAACTGATATTGTGTTATTTTAGGTTATTTTTAGTGATTTTCACGTTTTTTGTATTATTTTGCGCTGAACATTCGCTTATTTGAAACCCAATTCGTGGTTATTAGGTTTAGGACTTACGGTGTTAGTTTCCTATTCTGATTAGGATTTGTTTTTTCTTTTTAAAAGGCTTGTAACCTTAATGGGGAGGGAGGCTATTGAATCTGAGATTTTGAGAGACTTTTCTCTTTGGTTCGTTTCAGAACTTTACAGAACTTATCAAGATTATTCTTGTGGCGTTCTAACCTGACTTATCATTCTTGTTCTTAATCGTTCGAGGGTGTGGCGTCAACCAAATTTATATCTCTGGTTCTTGTTGCGTCATAGACAACAGGTCAAGGTTTTTACCTTTGGTTCTTCTTGCAACATAAGCAACGGGTCAAGGTCCTATTATAAACCTGATTTAGCTTTCTTGGAGTTTAGAAATCCCTTGTCGTATTGTGGGTCTCATTGTTCTCTTTGGGGTTCTCATCATCTTGGTATCAAAGCCTTTTGACGCAATAGCCTTATTGATGGGAATCCAGATGACCGCATATGTACCACATCAAGAGATCCATTACACATTCTAGGAGGTCCAATCACGAGAGCTAGAGCTGGGAAGATGCGAGAAGCTTTAAATGGCCTTATTGAGCAGATCTGGGTTGATAACAACATACAACAAGCAAATTGAAGCTTGGATGATTATCAAGGCATGGTAAACATTATTCAGGTTCAAGAGAAGCTTAATTAAGGTCATTTGCATAGAATTACACAGTTTGCGTCAAAATCGCACAATTCTGTCGCAATTTGTAGCAAACTGATATTTTGTGTTATTTTAGGTTATTTTTAGTGATTTTCACGTTTTTTTGTATTATTTTTGGGTTGAACATTCGCTTATTTGAAGCTCAATTAGTGGTTATTAGGTTTAGAACTTAGGGTGTTAGTTTCCTATTCTGATCAGGATTTGTTATCTCTATTTAAAAGGCTTGTAACCCTAATGGGGAGGGAGGCTATTGAATCTGAGATTTTGAGAGACTTTTCTCTTTGGTTCGTTTCAGAACTTTACAGAACTTATCAAGATTATTCTTGAGGCATTCTAACTTGACTTATCATTCTCATTCTTAATTGTTCGAGGGTAGCGTCAACCAACTTTATACCTCTGGTTCTCGTTGTGTCATAGACAACGGGTCAAGGTTTTTACCTTTGGTTCTTGTTGTGACATAAACAACGGGTCATGGTCCTATTATAAACCTGATTTAGCTTTCTTGGAGTTTAGAAATCCCTTGTTGTGCTGTGGGTCTCATTGTTCTCTTTGGGGTTCTCATCATCTTGGTATCAGAGCATCAGATCCCTAAATCAAGTTTGCGTATCTTTAGTTTTCAGTTTTTACATAAAAAAAAAATAATAATTAGGGTTCTTTTCTTTGTTGTCTGCAACTCTTTTCGTCTTGTTCTGTTGAACCCGTGTTGTTGGTTCTTAAAAAAAAAAATCAGAGAGAGAAAAGCACAAAAATGAAAAAAAAAAGAGAGAGGAAAGAAGTCGTAGAAAAAAAAAGGAAGAATCGCAAAAAATAAAAAAGAAGAAGAAGAAGAAGAAAAAAAAAACCAAAAAAAAAAAGGAGAGAGAAACAAGCAACTCGATTTTGTGGTTGGAATTCCTTATATAGAGAAGAAATCGGTGGCCAAATCCTTAAAGAAGAAGGAATCCTACTCCAATGAAAAGTTGGAAGAAGGAATTCTACTACAACAAGAAGTTGGAAATTTTCTTTGAATTCTGTTGAAACAAGGAAATAGCAATTTTGTTTATTCCTTCCTAAGTTAGGAATCCTACCACATTAAGGAATAGAAATCCCACTACAATAAGGAGTTGTAAAATTTTCTTTGAATTCTATTCAACAAGGAGATAGCAATTTTGTTTATTCCTTCCTAAGTTAGGAATCCTACTGCATTAAGGAATAGTCAAGTCAATTCCTACTAGGAAGTGCTTGAACTTATCTGTTTGTTTTAATTTGTTTGGGTTGGTTCTTTTATTGCTTTTCTTGGTTGTTCCTTTGTGTCTTTATGTTTCCTTTAACTCTTGCAGATTTGTTGGAGTTAGATTGCTGCAAAATAACTTGAATTGAGCTTGTTTAGTTCAATAATGAGCTAAAAGAGGAAAGTTGAGTGAGGGAAAAAGGCAAAAGGTGTGAGCAACATTTGAGAGAAAAGCCAAGTTCTACAGTGTGCGAAACACGAGTGTTAAGTGCCATTCTGTGAGAGAGTTGAGTGAAACACGTAAGAGAGTGTTGTGAGGTCCTTTTATTTTCTATTTCTAACATTCCTTGCAGGTTTCAATCATGTCAAGTGGTGATGATAGAAAACACCAAGTGGATGGTTCCTTCGTGCTCAAAGCTATGCAACAACAATTTCAAAGGCTAGACATCATGTTTGGTGAAATTAAAGACAAAATGGAGAAGCAAGATGCAGCCATTGCCAAGTTATACCAAATACATAATGGAAGTCCAAATTTGCATAATCACGATCTTGATGACAATGATGAAGATGCATTCAACGATGACGCCCAGAACTCAAATTTCAGCATGGACAGATTTATGAGTGGTAGAGGGGGTCAAAGATATAGATTTAATAAAAGAAACCAAAATCTGGCAAGGTGGGGAGATCGGCAAGATCATGACTTAGGCAGCATCAAGATGAAGATTCCTCCATTTCAAGGCAAAAATGATCTAGATGTGTATTTGGAGTGGGAAAAAAAGGTGGAATGCCGTTGATGGAGAATTGCTTGTCATTAGGTGAGCTTTGATTATGCAAGCCAAAGAAGATGATGAAGTACAACGTGACAATATATTTCACATGAGGTGCCATGTCAAAAACAAGGTATGTAGTGTGATTATTGATGGTGGTAGTTGTACTAATGTAGTTAGCACTGTTTTAGTTGAAAAGCTTAATTTACCTATGACGAAGCATCCAAGGCAATATAAGCTGCAATGGTTAAATGATTGTGGAGAAATCAAGGTAAATAAGCAAGTTCTGGTTTCATTCTCTATTGGACGATATAAGGATGAGGTACTTTGTGACGTGGTTCCTATACATGCTAGACATTTACTTTTAGGGAGACCATGGTAATACGATAAGAGGGTAACACACGATGGCTTCAAAAGTCGCTATTCATTTGTCATGGAGGGGAAAACTATTACTCTTGCACCATTGAGTCTAAGGCAGGTTTATGAGAATCAACTGAGAGTAAAAAAGAGAGTGAGCTGAGAAAGGAGAGTGAGCTTGAGGGTATGAAAAACAAAGAGAAAATAGCAAAAAAAGAGTCCAAAAAGAGAGAAAAGATCGATAGTGTTGAAAACAAAGAGAGAAAATTAGTGTGTGTTTATGCAAAAGAAAGTGATGTCAAGGCTGCGTTCTTTGCAAAGCAGCCTATGTTTGTGCTTTTGTATAAAGATGCTTATTTCAACACTAATGAACTTAATGATTCTTTGCCTAGTGTTGTTAAATCTCTTTTGCAGGACTTCAAGGATGTGTTTCCAAATGATGTTCCTAATGGTTTACCACAAATAAGAGGAATCGAGCATCAAATTGACTTCATTCTTAGTGCAACAATTCCAAACCGACCAGCATATCGAAGCAATCCCAATGAGACAAAAGAACTTCAAAGGCAGGTCGAAGAACTCATGAAAAAGGTACATGTGAGAGAAAACACGAGTCTATGTGCAGTTCTAGTGCTACTTGTGCCTAAAAAGGGTGGGACTTGGCGTATGTGTGTTGATTGTCGTGCGATCAACAAAATCACTGTAAAGTATCATCACCCTATTCCTAGATTAGATGACATGTTAGATGAGTTGCATGGTTCTTGCATATTCTTTAAAATTGATTTAAAGAGTGGATATCATCATATTAGAATGAAGGAATGTGATGAATGGAAAACAGCCTTTAAAACAAAACATGGTTTATATGAGTGGTTAGTTATGCCATTTGGATTAACTAATGCACCTAGTACATTCATGCGATTAATGAATCATGTTTTGCGTGCTTTCATTGGAAAATTTGTGGTTGTTTATTTTGATGACATTCTGGTATATAGCAAGAGTTTAACTGATCATATTGAGCATTTGCAAATGGTACTTGAGGTTCTAAGAAAAGAAAAGTTGTTTGCTAACCTTAAAAAGTATTCCTTTTGCACAAATCAGATTGTCTTTTTAGGGTATTTTGTTGCAGCTAATGGACAAACAAAAGTGGTTAATAGGACGTTGTCAACCTTATGGCGATCTATTATTCAGAAGAACATGGAGAATTGGGAAGAGTGTTTGCTGCACGTTGAATTTGCTTATAACCGGAGCATCCATTCAGCAACTAACTGCTTGCCATTTGAGGTTGCGTATGGTTTTAATCCACTCACTTCTTTGGATTTATTGCCATTACCTATTGATGAACAAGCTAGTTTGGATGAGAAAAAGAAAGCTGAAGTGGTTAAGCAACTACATGAGAGGGTGCAACAAAACATAGAGTGACGAATTGAGCAATATGCAAATCAAGCCAACAAAGGGCAAAAGAAAGTTGTGTTTGAACCTAGACATTGGGTTTGGGTGCATATGCAGAAGGAGCAATTCCCTGCACAAAGGTGTTCTAAGTTGCAACCAAGCAGTGATGGACCATTTCAAGTGATTGCAAGGATAAACGACAACGCATACAAGTTGGAGCTTCTTGGTGAGTATAATGTTAGTGCTACTTTTAATGTTTCTGATCTTTCTCCTTTTGATGTAGGTGACGATTTGAGGACAAATCCTTTTGAGGAGAGAGGGAATGATGGGAATCAAGATGACCCCACATGTACCACATCAAGAGATCCATTACACATTCCAACAGATCTGGGTTGATAACAACATACAACAAGCAAATCAAAGCTTGGATGATTATCAAGCCATGGCAAACATCATTCAGGTTCAAGAGAAGCTTAGTTGAGGTCATTTGCACAGAATTACATAGTTTGCGTCAAAATCACACAATTCTACCGCAATTTGTAGCAAACTGATATTTCGTGCTATTTTAAGTTATTTTTAGTGATTTTCACATTTTTTGTATTATTTTTGGGCTGAACATTCGCTTATTTGAAGCCCAATTCGTGGTTATTAGGTTTAGAACTTAGGGTGTTAATTTCCTATTCTGATTAGGATTTGTTTTCTTTATTTAAAAGGCTTGTAACCCTAATGGGGAGGGAGGCTATTGAATATGAGATTTTGAGAGAATTTTCTCTTTGGTTCGTTTTAGAACTTTATAGAACTTATCAAGATTATTCTTGTGGCATTCTAACCTGACTTATCATTCTCGTTCTTAATCATTTGAGGGTGTGGCGTCAACCAACTTTATACCTCTAGTTCTTGTTGCGTCATAGATAACTAGTCAAGGTTTTTACCTTTAGTTCTTGTTGCGACATAAACAACGGGTCAAGGTCTTATTATAAACCTGATTTAGCTTTCTTGGAGTTTAGAAATCCCTTGTCATGCTGTGGGTCTTATTGTTCTCTTTGGGGTTCTCATCAGTACTTATGTAACATGGATGGGTGATAGCTTATAGGTCCAGATAGCTCAAGACACATGAGAGGAATTACCCTACACATGATTTAGAACTTGTTGCCATAATTTTTGCACTTAAGTTGTGGAGGCACTATTTGTATGGAGAAGAGTTTGAGGTGCATATTGATCACCAAAGCTTGAAATATTTATTTTAACAAAAAGAGCTTAACTTGAGACAAAGAAGATGGATGGAGTATCTGAATGACTATAAATGCAAAAATGCCTATAAACCTGGAAAGGGAAATGTAGTTGTGGATGCGCTTAGTAGAAAATCAACTGGCACCTTAGGAAGCTTAATGGTGATGGAGTGGAAACTCCTAGAAGAATTCAAAGACCTAAATGTCAGGTTTTTGCCACCAAAGTCTAATGTACTAGTGTCTAGTTTAATTGTTCAACCTACACTGTTGTCAAAGATCAAGGAAGCACAATAGAAAGGTTCAAGATTGATGGAGTGGATGAAGGATAGTGGAAAAAGTTCCAAAATGGTCTTCATATTTCGGATGATGGAATCATAATACTTGGAGATAGAATTTGTGTTCCATATGATGAAGGGTTGAGGATAAAGTTACTTAAGGAAACACACAAGTCCAACTATACCATTCATCTTGGGAGTACCAAAATGTATCATGACTTGAAAGAGACATTCTGGTGGAAAATCATGAAGAAGGATGTGGCTAAATATGTGTCCAAATGCTTCATTTGTCAAGTGGTTGAAGCAAAGCACTAGAAGCTAGGAGGGAAACTTCACCCTTTACCTATACTAGAGTGGAAGTGGGAAGCCATCTCAATGGACTTCATTGTGGGATTTTTGAAGACGAGAAGGCAATTTGATGCAATTTGGGTGATTGTGGACAGATTGACAAAATCAGCTTACTTTTTAGCTATAAAACAAAAAGACCCATTGGACAAGTTGGCCAAGCTTTATGTTAAGGAGATTGTTAGACTCCACGGAGTCCCAGTGAGCATTGTATCAGACAGGGATCCAAGGTTTACTACAAGATTTTAGGGATCTTTCCACAAAGCCATGGGAACTCAATTGAAATTAAGCACAGCATACCACCCACAAACCGATGGGCAATCTGAGAGGACTATTTAAGTGCTCGAAGACATGTTGAGAGCTTGTGCATTAGACTTGCTTGAAAGTTGGGATGATCATCTCCCATTGGCAGAGTTTGCTTATAATAATAGCTATTATTCCAATATCAAAATGGCACCTTATGAGGCTCTTTATGGCAGGAGATGTAGAACTCCAATTTGTGGGCAGAAGTTGGTTATGGAAGGGTAATGGGGCCTGATTTTGTGCAGCAAACAACAAAAAAGGTGAAATTAATTCAGAAGAGACTTAAAGTGGCTCAAGACAGACAAAAGAGTTATGTAGATAATAGAAGGAGACCTTTGGAATTTGAAGTTGGAGATCATGTATTTTTGAAAGTGTCACCAACTAAGGGAGTGTATCGGTTTGGTTTGAAAGGAAAACTCAGTCCAAGGTACATTGGCCCGTTTGAGATTCTTGAAAGGGTAGGTGAAGTGGCTTACATAATTGCATTGCCTCCAGAATTGTCAAATGTGCATCATGTATTTCATGTGTCTATTTTGAGGAAGTATGAGTTGGATCCTTCACATGTCATTAACTATAAACCATTGGAGTTGAAGGAAGATTTGAGTTACACCAAACAGCCAATATAGATTTTGGATAAAAAGGAAAAAGTTTTGAGGAATAAGATTGTGTCCTTAGTGAAAGTGTTATGGCGACATCATTCTGAGAATGAAGCTACATGGGAACTTGAAAGTCAGATGAGGGAGTAGTATCCAAATCTATTTTGGTAAGCTAAATGATTTGGTGGGCCAAATCCTTTTAAGGTGGGGAGGATGTAACACCCCACATGCCTTAGTAAATAATTTAAAAGTTAGTGTCCTTTAGTTTATAGTTTTAGAGATTAAATTGATTGAATTTAAAGTTTGGGAGTTTTAAGTAGAACTTAGTAGGAGTTGAATGGCGTTAACTCAATTATCCCAATTTTGCTTACCACATGGCATTATCCCAACCAAGTTTTTTTTCCTTGTCGGTTGGAACTTGGATAAGCCTCTAGAAGGCTCCCAAAAGTCCCCTTTTTTTTCCTGCATCTTCCAGCCATCCCCTGCATCCTTTTCTTCCTTTTTTCTCCAACCAAGATTAAAGTGCTTGATTTTCATGTAAGTATGAGTTTTGGTTATAAATTTTGGTTAGAGTTTTTATTTGGGTAAATTATAGATTTATTACAATAAACTAAAAGTTAGATTAAATTAATGGAATTTGACTCCAAAGCTTTAGTTTAATAGATCTTTGGGTATTAAGATTTTGTTAAAAAGATGTCAATTTTTGGGGTTTATATGGGAAAGACAGTGACTTATTCCTTTATATGTTTGATTTGGTATGAATTTTTACTTGCCAGAATTATAAGTAAATTGTACTGTTCATGATTACTGTTCACATAATTATTGTTCATGATTACTGTTCATACATCACTATTCACGCACTATGTTTTAATCTCTTTCAATAGGAAGTCCTAATATTATTTTGGATTTATTCTAAATTTGTTTGACATGTATATGTGTTTGTGGTTATGGGGTAAGTGGATTTAAGTTTAAAGCTTTGGGTGTTCAGTGTACCCTTCGAGGTATTTAGTGGAGCTTTGCGTAGTAGGGTTAGTATTGTGATTAGCTTTGGTATAGTGTTGCTAGCACTTCAATGGACTCCATAGCATTGTGTGATTTTCGATTGTAAGCATTGCGCTTGTGACATCGTATTTGTGAGCATATGATTTTAGTATATGAATTTAATTTAAATGTCATTGATTATTTCTTGACATGTGTGAGTATGATTTGAGAATTTTAATATTATGTGGTTTGGTTTCGTTGTATCTTATGCTCATTATGTGCATAGGTCTAGGGGTCTTATGACCCAAATTTATAACTTAAACTTATTACTTACTGGGCTTTTAGTTCATAAAATTCCCCCCTCCCCATTTCAGATCAGTAGATCAAGGTAGCAACCTCGGTTTAGGAGCTTTTGGCACGGGACTCGCATGTTCGATGTATGTACAAGCTAAGGCCTCATGTTTTTGATAGGAAGGCAGATCGATGTGTTACCAAAACAATGACTCAGCTTTTGTTCTTTTGAAAAGTTTTGGAGAAGAAATTTGCCTCATATAATTTTTGTGTAAATTATCTTTATGTACATAATCTTTAAGTTAATTATAAATAAGCTTAGTTCAGCTTATTTTATAATTTTGAATATTTTGAAAATTTTCCAATATATATTGATTTTTTTTTTGTTAAAGTGATTTTCCTTTACAGGTATCTATAAATCTTATTTCCAAACTCTTCTACGACTAAGAATGCCTAAGGAGGTGTGTTATATCTAGCACTGTAGAATATTTTCCAAACTTGCAAAACGTCATGGCTGGGAAACAGAATATCATGGCTGGGAGATAGCATGTTGCAGCTTCAATTTCTGGGTTATTTTCTTGAGCATTGGAGGATCAAACTGAAGACTTAGCATAAAAAAAGGGATCAAGCCCTCCATTCATAAGCCCCCACAATGGTCATCCTTCCTTCTCCCATCACTACTTTCAAGTTTATTTCTTTTGTCTTGTTAAAGCTTGAAGGAGACCATTGTGCTCTTTTATCTACAACGTGAGGGTTGCTTATTATAGAGTAGAAATATTTGTCAAGGATAATAGATGGCACATTCATTAACTTTGCTATTGTACTACAATATACTATCTAAAAATGTGCTTCTCAAATTGTAATTTTTAACCCTTATACATTTTCTATCCTTGCTGCTCCTATAGCAATATACATTTAACTTTCATTATTTTTTATAGTTGTGTAATCATTCTTGTTATCCTGGGAGCACCATCATCACTCCACTTTTTTTGGCTTGGCTAAGGACATTCTATTTCCGATCTTTGTTGGAGAAGTTCTATTTCCAGTCTTCATTGGAGAAGCTCTATTTTTGGACTTCACTAGAGAAACTCTACTCCTGGTCTTCGTTGGAGAAACTTGCACCTTTAGACTTCGTCGAAGAATTTATTGCTGATCAACATTGCTAGGCAGAATGAGACAGTCTGTGGCGTGTAGCCTCTTGCACGGGAAATGACTGCCACCAAAAGGACCCTCCTCATTATTCATTGGTGGCATCTTAGTCAACCTCCACACCATCACCGTTGCTGACTCGTCAACGTACATCACCAACACACCCTAAACACATTGTATTTAAATATGTATTTGAATTATTAAATTACTACTATAAATAAATACAGAAAAAATTTCACTAAAAATAATTTAATACTTTTAATATA